AATACCAACATGGGCCAGTGAAGCAATGTCCTCCACAACTAGACTGAAGAACAAAAGGATAGCAACTTGTCTGTTCCCCTTCCCCTGATTCCCCAATAAAAAAATCTTTAAAAAAAAACCAAAGGAACAACTCATTTGAGAATACCCTATTTCCCCCATGGTGCTAATCTCCACGCATTTTCCTGTCATCACAACACTGGGCCTCACTTGGTTCAGGTGAAATTAGAAGGTTGACTGAGAGGGGCGGCTGGCTAGCTCAGCTGGTTGGAGCGCAGTGCTCATAACACCAGGGTTGCCGGTTCAATCCCCACGTGGGTCACTGTGAGCTGTGCCCTCCACGACTAGACTGAAACAACTACTTGACTTGGTGCTGATGGGTCCTGGAAAAACACACTGTTCCCCAATAAAAAAATTTTTTTAATCCTTTAAAAGAAAAAGAAAAAAGATGGCCGACTGAGAGGCTTTAATTTGACATGACAGCAGAGGCTGCCTGTTGCAAGGGGCTCTCTGACCTGCCCGTGACCTGTTCTCTGCTTTAGTCAGTCCGTGAAGCCCCTAAGCAGATAAGTCCTGACACTTCTAGTTTGTATTAGCCTTGACAGGCTCTCCACAAATGGAACTGCCTGGTGGTGTGTGATCCCAGATAGGGGACCTCCTGATGACAGTCCCAATGTGCTTTCTCCTAGTGCACCCACTCTGGGAGAGTGTGGACCTGGCCCCAGCAGGTGAGCGCCAGTCGCCCATCAACATCCGGTGGAGGGACAGTGTCTTTGATCCTGACTTAAAACCACTCACCATCTCTTATGACCCGGCCACCTGCCTCCACATCTGGAACAACGGGTACTCTTTCCTCGTGGAATTTGAAGATTCTACAGATAAATCAGGTGAGAGCCAGACTGGTGGTCTCATCTGGAGTCAAAGGGACAGTTTCATGTTGGTACAGGCCAGATCCAACTGCCTCCATGGGAGCATGGACCTCTTGTTAGCAATGATGGGACTCATTAGACTTACTTTTTCAATGTATGAAAACAGTCCCTTCTAGTTTTTATGCACGTTTTCTTTTACTAGTAAGAAGTACTTTTTATTAATAAATATGCATATCTTAAGTTTACATTCATCATGGATATAGAAGATAGGATGTGAAATTAAAGCTTTGTCCAAAATTTATTTTGTATGTGTTTATGAATATGTGCTAATTTTCTCTGCTTGATGACTTTACAAGACACTTTTATATTAAATGGTAATACTGTTTAATCAGATTTAATGATCAGATTTTAATACCTTTGAAATGAGGTGAAAAGAATACTCAAGTGTGCATGGGGTTAGTCATAACAACTAGTTAAGACTTGTCATATATTAGCAAAATGGAAACTCATGTTCTATTAATTTTGTTAATTAGACAATGTTACCTAGTTTAAAAGGAACACAATTTAAAAGAGATTTTAAAATCAAAACATTATATTGCTTTTGAATCTTCTCCCCTTTTTCAACTTACCCAGATATAAACTAATCTGAATGATTTCAAAATTTACCTGAAACTTTTAGTGTCTATTGAAAACAGAATGTGATTAATTCTATGCAGGTTTCTTTTTTCTTTTTCTTTTTCTTTCAAGCCAAAGTTGAAGGTATCAAATAGTCCTAATTAGCCTGGAATACTTATTATTTGAAATAATCTATTTTAGGCTTAAGGAGAGGTTATCAACCAGTGACAATTTTGCCACCTCTTTCTTTCCAGGGACTGGGGACACTTGGTGATGTCTGTAAGCATTTTTGGTTGTCAGAACTGGAAGGTGGCGGTGTAACTGACATCTAGTGGAGCGAGGCCAGGAATGTTGTTGGAGAGCCTACAATAGACAAGATAGCAGCATTTGTGAACAATTATCCAGCCTCAAATATCCATAGAGCTGAGATTGAGAAACCCTGATCTAAAGGACATTAATTTTCTTTCATGAAGATAAGGAAATGAGTCCATGAAAGCGTTCATGAATGAAGTAACAGTGTAACAAAGCATAAATAGAAGTGTTCATTCCTGAATTTATCCTGGCTCTAGGATTCTCACCTATATCTTGGTTTTCCTTACATTTTCCTAGTGATGCTCCGATACTTAGACATGACCCTCTGGCCCAACTGTAGTCAGACTGATCCTCCCATGGGGTCCTCTCTCTCTCTGCTTCTCTTCCCTCTGACATACTTCTCTGCTGTGACTCAGGAAGTATTCGAGTTTGTCCTTAAGGGCTTAGGTGCCTGTATGGTGTCCTCCATTTTTTCTTTCTCTTCCGTGGTATTGTTACACAGCCCCCGGACCCTGAACATCTTATTTACATTTCTCCAACTAAGAAATTACTCCTTTTTCCCTCCCGATTCATTGGTACCTTTCTTAATTTTTCCAAAACCCTAGAATATGCTCCTATCTCAACTGGAAGCCTATAATGTTACGTTTTATATAAGGATTCCAGAAAATTTCAAAACAGCATGCTAAAGTCCTGTGTTCTTGCACTATGGTGAGCTCTACTATTTCGCTTAGGGCTCTACCATTACTCCTGCCAGGACTAGACTAATGGGCAGGCCATCTCTCATATGTTCACCTAAATGCTGGTCAGCCTTCTAATGACCTTGACAGTCTAGGGACTGTTGCCAATATACAATAGTATGGCTTCATTGAGTTAGAAATCATAGGAAGTTGTTTAATGGATTTTTTAATCAAGTGAGTTAATCCCAAGATCATTCAAGGAGAATAGCTTTTCGTTTTATTTTTCAGTCATGTTTTCTCTCTTGAATTGAACAATAGATTTAAGAATTCTTATCCACCCATTTGCATGGGCAATCTCATATGGAAAACAAATGACCAACATTTTCCTCATAATATTAATAGCTCTTTAGATACCTTCAAACACAACTAACTAAACCATTCCTTGATCTTACCTTCCCTAAGTAAGTCTCACATTCCTTTTACGAAATATGCAAGAAAAATTGGAAAGAGGTTGCCAATTCTCCACTTTTTTGTCAGGAAGGACCAAAATAGATAACGCCGTTTCATTCCGCTTTAACAATTATTTTCTTTAAGATATCCTTAATCTTTAATAAGTACCTAACTCTCTCTCTCTCTTTTTCCGCATTTTAGTGACTGCCCCCTATCTCCTGCTTATTCTTCACTTCTGTTTCTCCGTGCTGTTGCAAAATAATCAATAGCATTCAAAGAGGAAGAATGACTGAATGAACATAAAAAATAAAGCAAAAGCAAAAGAAAGCAAAGACATCTTAGAAAGGAAGAGAGGCAAGAAACAACTCTAATTCTAGAAAAGAAAGAATCTAATATTAAAGTCTATAAGTTTCCCCCAGAAAAGTAGGAAATGCTGCTGCAGTGTGCTTTACAAAGAACGGGATAAAGTGTGCAAGGAAAGGTATGTGACAAAAACAAAACACACCAAACCTATGGGATACAGTAAAAGCAGTGCTTAGAGGGAAATTTATAGATGCAAATGCCTGTATTGGAGAAGAAGAAATTTCTCAAATCAATAACCTAGCCTTCTACCTTAAGAAACTAGAAAGATAAGAGCAAACTAAGCCCAAAGCAAACAGAAAGAGGGTCGTGATAAAGAGCAGAAGTCAATGAAATCGAAAGTTGGCTCTTTGAAAAGATCAACAAAATTGACGAACCTTTAGCTAGGTAAGCCAAGGGGAAAAAATAAGAGAAGACTCAAATGACTAAAATCAGGAATGAGAGAGGGGACAGCATGACCAGCCTTATAGAAATTAAAAGAACAATAAGAGAAGGTATGTGAGCATCTCATACCACCGCCCTCTTCTGGGTATTGTTTTGTTATTTGGTTCCCCTGATTAGGACACCGTTATTGATTTTAATGAGTGCATGTGATGGATGCAAAATATTGTGGGGAAGGGCACTGCGTTATGCCTGGGCTGAGTCTCATGGATAATCTGTAAATTACCACCTCCTTTGAAATTACTCTCATCAGCAGTGTCACCAGACATTAAAGAGAAGGATGGATGAGTCCCATTGTTCTGAGTTGGCTTCCTGCCCCATCTGGCTTCACGTTATACTTTTAGGGGCATCCACAGTGAACCTACTAAGAATGCTTTCATAAGCATTTTAAGTTCTCTCCCCTATTTCTAGTCTTACATCTACATTTTTGGAGAAAAAAATGTAATTTTTAGTACATTTACAGAGTGGTGCAACCATCAGTACAATACAATTTTAGAGTGTTTCCATCACCCCAAAAAGTTTCATGCCCATTCCAGCATTTTTATTTGTATGGGGCCTGCGTATTACCTTTCCCTTCAATATCCCTTTATCTGCTAGCTCCCTCACCTCCACATTAAAAACAAAAGAAGGGCGTGAACATTACATAGACTGCTTACCATAAGCCTGATACTATCCTGGGTGTTTCATATTTGTTATTTAATTTTTTATGAGTTTAATCCCTTCTTAGAGCACAGAAACAACAATATATCAACAACCTCAAATGCATAAGTATATGATTATTTGATGTATCTTATGACTGCTCTGCTTTCTAATTCACTGTCTTCCATCTCCCTTCTCTGGCCCGTTTCTTGCCGACTATACTGGCCCCTCTCATTCATGCATCTGCCCCACCTGACCCCACCCTTTTCCTTACTCTTGCTGAGGTTACCAGTGATATTTCAGCTAACAAACCCAGCAGACACTTTGCAGTCTATTTCTTTAGTTCCTCATTTCATTGAGGCTCTCCTAAGTGTCAGGCACAGGTGCATAGAAACAAAAAGAAGGAATCCTGCCTTTAAGGAGCTTACAGTGTGATGGGGAGACAGACCCTCAAAGACACGATGCTAATGTGGATTGCTAAGTGCTGGGAGGAAAGTGTGCACGTGGGGTCTGCTGGGAGAAGGCTTCCTGGCGGAGGTGACACCTGGGTGGTCCATGCGACACCTGGGTGGTCTACGTGGAGGTGGAGGTGTGAGGCAGTGTGATGCCTGTGTTAGGTGTTATTGTGTGTAAAGTGCTAAAGGGAAGTGGCAGACAAGGAAGTCCTGAGGCCAGCAAGAGCCGATTCAGGGAGAGTTCTGGAGACCACACTCAGAGATGGGAAATCTGGGTGCAGCTTAGCTGGGTGCTCTTGCTTTGAGTCTCTCATTGGGCTGTGATCAAGGTGTCAGTCATGGTTGGGGTCTCATCTCAAGGCTCCTCTGGCAAAAGATCCTCTGGCAAACTCACTTAAGTGGCTGTTGGCAGGATTCAGTTTCTATCAGGGCTTCATTTCCTTGCTGGCTGTTGGCCAGAGACCACCTCGATTTTTTGCCAAGTGGACGTCTCCATAGGGCAGCTCACACAGCAGCTGGCTTCTTCAGAGTGGGCAAGTGAGACGGATGCCAGCGTCTTTTTCTAACTGAATCTCCACAGTGACAGTCCATCACATTTGCCCTTGGAAGCAAGTCACAAAATAAGGTCCTTTTCCTGCAAAGTGCTTGCTCTTAACCACATTATACAGGGGACTACCTCCCTGTCTCAATTCTCCCCTATGTACACTTTATAGGTACAGTGCCCAGCACATGGTAGGGACTTACTGATTTTTCTAACTAGCAAGTTCCCAAGTCAGATGCTCGGGCATCTAACTTTTCTCTCGAGGATCACAGATGCAGATGTACCTACAGTGCCAGAGAATTAATGAGAATGAGTGAGGATGGGAGAGTTGGAGAGAAATGACACCAGTGGCGACTGTGAAGAACTGGTGGGACCATCTAAAGGGGGCAGCCATTTCTCCTGTCCAGCCTATTTTCGCCCAGTTGGGAGCATGTGCCCAACATCGGCAGGGCATCTCATTCTCGAGTTAAATTGCAAGTGTGGATTTTTATGTGAAATCATCCAGATTGAAATGTTGGCAATGAATTAAAAAGATGTCTTTAGTATTGCGTGGGTGAACCCAAACACACCTGAAGACTAGTTTTGGCCCCCTCCCTTGCAGCCACCCACTGGTGACATCTCCTCTCTGCCATGCTCATCGTCTGTGGAACAGACACGTAGTAAGTGTTCTGGAAGTGTTGCCAGTGTGTTTCTGGGGATAGGAGAGAAAAGCTGGCCCTCTCCTCTGTCTTGGTCACTTAACTTGCAACCAGAACTTCAATGTCATTCAACAGGTTAGATCGAATATTTCCCAAAGTCATACTCACAATATGGAGCTAGCATAGAAAAATAAGACTTTGGGGGAGACGTATTATTTTTTATATCCGTACACTTTAGTACCATCCTCCTATTAATTTAGTGAATTATGTGGTATTATTCTCTGCACCTCCCCTGCCCCCAAAGAAAAGTGGTCATTGCTGCCTTTGCTCACTTCTTACAAAACTCCTTTGTAAAGAGGAAGTTAGGTAAAATATTTTCAAAAGCCAGTACAATACATAGCAGACCACTGCATGCCATATCCAGTGTATTTGGTCCTTGGAATTGCTGTACTCAGTCATTTGCATACATAAAATTCAACAAATGATGCAATAAACTCTAAAGATCATTAAGGTAGATGAGATGGGTGGTTTTTGTGTTGTTGTATTGGTTTAACCACGACAGACATGATCAGGGTCAGATTAGATGGAAGAAATGAGGAACTAATATGCTTTAGCAAATTCAAGCAAAAAAAAAAAAAACTCAGCACCGCCCAACGCCTGGGGAAGAGTGACTTTTAAAACTCATATCTGAATATTTTGCTTATACTGTAATGTTTTGATTTCGCTGGTTCCAAAATCTCTAGTCTAAACAAAAGCTTTTTATAATCCAACATGGTGAAGCCAATGGCAGAGTGTGTGGATGACTTACAATGTCCACTCTGTCCAAAGGGAGATGGGTAATCATTTTTAACTTGTAAATTTCCTATTCCATTTTAATGAAAGGGAAAAAAACCACTAATATCTTCAGAAACTAAAAAGCTAAGTATCAGTGCATAAACAAGAAAGAGAATATATTTTGTACTTATAGTTCAGTTTTATGAGATTGGATTGGATAAATATGCTGAGAAATTTGTATTTTACTGTACCCACAAAACTGGGGTCAATAGATATAGAATATAAAAATTAGTCAAGAATTGGCTTTTAACAATTGTGTGTAGCTGGAGTGTAATTAAATCTCGGTGTCATTCAGAGTGCAGGTCCCCTCCTCCCTACCCCCCCCCCGCCTTACACATGTATTAACTTTGTGGAAATCAAGTTTATAAATACTTGTATGTAATACATTGTGCTTCATTAAAAACAGTTCATATAGAAGGTCCACCCATAGATTTGGCCTTTCCCCTCCAATCCTCCACAGCGTGAAAAACAATCCCCTTAATTGTTGGATATACCATTTCAGTGATCAAGGGAGGACCCCTGGAACATACCTACCGATTGAAGCAGTTCCATTTTCACTGGGGGGCCATTGATGCCTGGGGCTCCGAGCATACGGTGGACAGCAAAAGTTACCCAGCAGAGGTATGTTGAGAAACTTGGGAACAGTTTCAACTGTGGAGAAGTGGGGATCGTTCCAAGTTTCTGGTTCTAAGACATTATCAGGAAGAATCAGGTAATTTCTATGAATCTAAATGGCTCTCTCAGGCGTATTAGATTATGCCCAGTTATTACATGTAAAGTGATAACTGCCCTCATCTCAAATAATATAGCAGAAATGAGCCTTAAGATTCCAAAATGGAATTCTTTCAGGATTCTAAGCTAGGCTCAAATCACAGCCTAAAGTAAAAACCCAGGCAACAGTGCAGGGCCGCCAGGTCCAATTAAGCCAAGTGAGAGATGGCGGGGAACCTAAATGAAGGCTGTGGCAGCAGAACTAGAAAAAAAGAGCAAGATTTAACAAGCGTTTCTGAAATGAAAGCAACAGGACTTGAGGCAGGTTCCTCTTCAGGAGAGGAGAAGAAGGTAACCATGTCCTTGAGAGTCTCACTTGGGAGGCTGGGTGACTGATGGAAGAGGAATGATTTGTAGGTAAACGTAGGGAGCACGTAAGCAGATAGAATTTCTTCTTATAACTTTTCCCCTAATTTACTTTTAAATGTTACCTTAAAAAGAAACACATTTTAAGTGGTTCTCCCTCAGAAATGTGTCTTCAAATCCTGTCTCATTCCCATAGGGAGAATCTATTTCTCCCAAGATAAACATCTTGTTTCATGCAAATCAGAATAGGGATGGGAAAATGTTGCTCCCTCACTGAAATGTGATTCGCTTTGCTATATATATTTTGTTTCTCCCAAAATAAATCTGTATTCCAAAGTAATATTAATTGCTGCTGCTGCATACATTTCTTCTTGTTCTTTAGTTCTATCTCATTTTGCACCAGATTGTCATGCTTTTCCGAGTGGCTTCATTTTAGGTGCAGAAACATATTAAATTGTCATATGTTGAATTAGACTGTTTTGGAGTGATTGTATGTGGTCATGTCAAACCCCCTTTTAATGGTGTTTCAGCTGCACCTGGTGCATTGGAATTCAGTCAAATTTGAAAACTTTGAGGACGCAGCACTGGAAGAAAATGGTTTGGCAGTGATAGGAGTATTTTTAAAGGTAAACAAAAATCTTACCAACTTTAAATGGTGTAGTATTCTACGATGAAAAGATACAACATTACAATAATAGGTTTTAAGAATATTCGGGTAAAAGTAAACAATAGATCAAGTATAAGATGGTTATGAATGTAATTCAAATGGCAATAAAAAGCACAGTCCATTCCTGTCAAGAAGGCAGAGTAGGTAAATGCTGTGCTTACATTCTCTCATGACCACATCAAAGTTACAACTAAACTGCACAACATCCATCATTGAGAATCGCCTGAAGTCTAGGTGGACAGAAGTCCTGCAACTAAGGACATACAGAAAAGACCACCTCAACACTGGCAGGAGGAGCAGAGACATGAAACGGGCTGGTCCCATACCCACGAGTGGCTGTTAAAAATTGGGAGCTTATCGTGGCTGCAGAGGTCCCTCCAGAGGAGTGAGAGGTCCCAACCCCATACCAGGCTCCCCAGCCCAGCGTCCCAGTGCCAGGGAGAGAATACCCCACAACTTCTGGCTGTGAAAACCAGTAGAGATTGTGGCTGAGTGAGACAAAGGGCTGCTGGAGACCCAGGCATCCTGTTAAAGGGCCATGCAAGGACTTACTTGTTGATGGAGTCACTTGCTCTGAGCTCCATTGCTGGGGCAGCAGCTTCAAAGGTGGCAGGGACATACCAGGAGGAATTGAATTGTCTGACTTTGGAGCGAGGGATGAAGGGGCAGCTTCCTTCCAGACAGAATTATTGGCAGGCTCCATTCTTTTGTTGAGCCCTCCCCCCACCCAGTGTGCAGAGGTAGGCAGGTGTCATATCTGAGTCTCCATCAACCTAGCTAACACCATTCGCCCCACCCTGACGATTCCCTGAGACCCTGCTCCACCCAACTTGCTGGCCCACCCAAGCCACTCCCAGTGGTTTTTCCATACAAACTACCTGTCTTGGCTCATGCTGCAGGTTTTTAAAAAAAAATCTCTCAAAAGTCCACAAACCCCAAATACGCATCATTTGGCCTTGACTTGCCCTGTACTTCTTGCTAAGCAGGCCCAAGCCCTGCACTAGCAGCAGCCAGGCTTGGTTCCCAGCTTAGCCTCTTCCAGGCACCTCCAAGCCCCCAGCACAAGTGGCGACCATCTGCAGATCACTGTGTAGCTCATACCAAGTGTCCCTAGGCAGGGCACAGGGAGTGGCTGACCTTGGCCTGCAACAGAGCCCCGCCCCAGAGATTCTAGAACCAACACACCTGGTGGCTAGCTTCAGATCACACCAGAGCACCACCCAACCACAATGACACAAAACCCAAGGGTAGACTGGGCAGGCACCAGAGCCCCACTAAAGCATACCCTGCTCTGTAGGGTCACCCCCTGCACCACAGCTCCTCCGCTATAGTCACAGCCAATCCTCACAAAAAAATCAGTCAGAGAGTCAATCCCTCCCGCTGACATGCAAACAGCGACCAAGGCTCAACTACTACAGGAGGGCACACACAAGGCACACTTGTGGGGCACCCGGCTCTGGTGACCAGGGAAACTGAGCCACTAGGCCCCACAGGACACCTACTACATAAGGCCACTCAACCAAGACCAGGAGATGTAGCAGCTGTAATACATAGAAACAAAAGTGGAGGCAACCAAAATGAGGAGACACAGAAACATGTCCCAAATGAAAGAACACAGCGAAGCTCCAGGAAAAGAACTAAACACAATGGAGACAAGCAATCCACCAGATGCAGAGTTCCAAATCCTGGTTATAAGGGTGCCCATTGATCTCAGTGAGGGGTGTTGGTTGGATGGGTAAAAAGGGGGAAGGAATTAAGAAGTACAAATTGGTGGTTACAAAATACAGGGGTATAAAGTACAGCATAGGGAATATAGTCAGTAATGTTGTAATAACTATGTATGGTGTCAAATGGGTACTAGACTTATTGGGATCATCACTTCATAAGATATAAATGCCTAATCACCATGTTGTATACCTGAAACTAATATAATATTGTATGCCAACTGTAATTGAAAAATAAAAAATTATTTAAGAAAATAAAATTTAAAAGAAAAATGCACAATCCAATAGAGTACCCAAAAGCCACATGTGGCAGTTGAGGACTTGAAATGTGGCTACTTTGACTGTGGAACAATTTTTAAGAGTCTCATGCTCTACCGACTGAGCTAGCCAGGCACTCAACAATTTTTAATTTTAATCAATTTCAATTTCAGAACTAATACTTAAATGGAGCAGGGGTACCTTTCCCCACAGGCATCCTGACCCTGTCAGCAAACAGCCTGCTCCTTTGTTCTATGTCTAATGCAGTGATGTTTATAACATTCTAAATTACCAGCTTAAGTCTAGCTTAAGTAGCATGGTTGGTTTGTTTTTATGTAATCACCAGGTGGTTAATTTTAATTCACATTGTGTTATAGTTTCAAAAGTGAGATGTCAATTGTTTTTAATATTTTCTCATTGCTTCTTCAGCTAGGCAAAAATCATAAAGAGCTACAGAAATTGGTTGATACTTTGCCATCAATTAAGCATAAGGTAATATTTTTTGTCCTATGTCACTTGAAACATATTTTGTTTCAATCTCAGAGGAAATATTAGCAAGGCACTTTGAATTGGGAAATGTAATTAATCTTAGTGTAATTCAGGTTCTCTTTGAAACTTGCCTAGAAGACAACTTGCCGTTTATGATGCTTGTGTGTTGAGAGAGTCCTTGGCCGTGGGACATCTCTCAGGGGACAGAAGGGATTCTGTTGGTGGGCACTGGCTGTTCTGGTTTTGCTGCCATGCCACTGGGCACTTGGGGACTCAGGAACATAATGCTGTTCCCTCCTCTGCTCCCAACACCTGCTCCTTCTAAGTCCTTGTGGAAACACTCAGAGAAGCCTTCTTGACTCTAGCTACCCTCCATCAGGCAGGGAGCAGAGAAAAGTTGGACAGAAACTTGGCTTGTCCAGCCTTAAAGAACAATTACTCATACCCTTCAGGATGGACACCTTTGTCCGGCTTCAAGATTAATTGATCAATATGCAGAATCCCAAAGGGGCTGCTCTCTGGAAGTCCATACATTCTCTCTCTCCCTCCCTCCCCTCTGTCTCCTCACTCCTTTTCCCCTCTCCCTCCCTTCTCATCTCCCCCTTTTTCCTTCCCTCTTCTCTCTCTCTCCCCTTTTTGTCTAGGATACCTCCTCCTAATTTGCATTGCATTTTAGAAAGGAGGATTCCATTAGTCTCTTGAAAAAGAGAAGCCTCCTTATTTATGCAGCAGGCACCACCTAATGCCTCACAGAGGGTTCAGAGGAGACCACCTGCTGGAAACTCACTAGAATGGAGGCAGAAAATCATTTCTGCTGTGTTCCCACTGAGGAGTGTGGGAAATACACTGTTAATTGCAGGAACAAAGCATAGGTGTGACTCAGTCCTAAGGTGCACAGAGGTCCTAAGGAGCGCCTCTGGACCACTGCTGGTTCCCAAACACTCCTAGAATCATTGCCTTGTCATCTGATTTCTGAGTGGTTTTCATCATGAAATGGATAGCTCAGTGACCCCTTCTCTTGGCCAGGACACCCTTGTGGAATTTGACTCATTCGACCCTTCTTGCCTGATGCCCACCTGCCCGGATTACTGGACTTACTCGGGGTCCCTGACTACCCCACCGCTCTCTGAGTCCGTCACCTGGATCATTAAGAAGCAGCCTGTAGAGGTGGATCATGATCAGGTACGTTCTTCCCACAATTCCACATAAGGAAATTCTAATCTACCCCTTTAAAACAAGGCTGGGCTCAAACTTTGGCATCAGTTTTTTTGTTGTTGTTTTTTTATCTACATTTTTTTTTCTTCTTTTTTTTTTTTTTTAAAGATTTTTATTGGGGAATTCGGGGATGGGAACAGCCCTGGGGAATTGGGGGAAGGGGAACAGACAAGTTGCTGTCTTTTTTTTTTTTTTTAGGTTTTTTTTTTATTGGGGAATTGGGGGGATGGGAACAGTGCTGGGGAATTGGGGAAAGGGGAACAGACAAGTTGCTGTCGTTTTGTTCTTCAGTCTAGTTGTGGAGGACGTTGCTTCACTGGCCCAAGTTGGCACCATCATTGTGCTCTTCCCGGGCGAGGCAGATCAGTAGCCGGCTTCTGGATGGCCGCTCACTGCGGCTGCTGGCCGCTCACTCCGGCTGCTGGCCGCTCACGCTGGCTGCTGGCTACATATGGTAGCCCATGGCAACCCACTGCAGCAGAGGCTACAGTGGCATCAGTTTTTAACATCTCGTAATGCTTATACATTTTTATTAAAATACGTGAACTTCTTGTAATTTGGGCATGAATTAGGAAATGCTTCAAATTAACCAGAGAGAGGAGTTAAAACTTAGTAAACGTAAGCTTTTTACGTCCATTTTGACAATGTGATGTGTGTTGTGTGAATCTATAGAAACAAGACCTTTTTAAAGGGAAGAATGAAGGCTGGAAATGGATGTGCTCAAAACCCCTTAATTTTCTTAAGGTAATTTTTCTCTGGAATCTCAGGTTAAAGATAGAATCCAATAGGGCCAGCAGAGTGGCTCGTTGGTTAAGAGTTGGCTTAGGAGCGTGAGCTCTGAGCAGCAGGGCCGCTGGTTCAGATCCCATATGGGCCAGTGACACTGCGCCCTCTACAGCTAAGATGGTGAACAACAGCTCCACCTGGAGCTGGGATGCCGTGAGTCACCGGCGATGGCGTAGGCTACAGTGGGGCTGCAGTGGGCTGCCGTGAGCTACTGTGAGTGGCCATCCAATGGCCGGTGACCAATCTGCCTCAGCCGGGAAGAGCGCAATGATCACAATACCAACATGGGCCAGTGAAGCGACGTCCTCCACAACTAGACTGGAGAACAAAAGGACAGCAACTTGTCTGTTCCCTATCCCCGATTCCCTAATGCTGTTCCTTCCCCCAATTCCCCAATAAAATCTTTAAAAAAAAAAGATAGAATCCAATAATATCTGTCCAGAAATTTTATTTTAAATCAGTTGTTTTGAACTTCAAATTTATTTTTTCCTTAGAAACTAAGTTTAAGTCAGGATTACTATGTCAATACACAACATCCTGTTTAATTCATAATATAACTAAATTACAATAATAGCTGCTTCTACTTCCTTTATGGGATTTTTATTAATCACAAAGCATTTTTACAAGAACAGAAGCTTCCAAAATCTTTTTTCATGCAGCCAGAATAACTGAAACCAACACCCATCAAAGATTAGAGCAAAGAAAAACCAAAGTAAACTACAGACTATTGTCTCTGAAGAATATATTTTTTAAAAAGCTAGAATATTGTATCAGAAACAGAATCATATAGCACATTAGAAGAAATATATACTTTGTCCAAGTAGCATTTATTTTAGTAATACAAGAATGGTTTATTAAGAATATTAAGCTCTCTCAGATCCTCGCTGCCAAGATGACCAACAAGAGAAGAAACAATGGTCGTGCCAAAAAGGGCCGTGGCCATGTGCAACCCATTCGTTGCACCAACTGCGCCTGATGCGTGCCCAAGGACAAGGCCATTAAGAAGTTCGTCATTCGAAACATAGTAGAGGCCGCAGTCATTAGGGACATTTCCGAAGCAAGTGTCTTCGACGCCTATGTGCTTCCCAAGCTGTATGTGAAACTACATTACTGTGCGAGTTGTGCCATTCACAGCAAGGTAGTCAGGAATCGTTCGCGTGAAGCCCGGAAGGACCGAACACACCTACCCCGACTGAGACCTGCGGGTGCTGCCCCACAAACTCCACCAAAGCCCATGTAAGGAGCCAAGTCCCTAAGACCAAAGAAATATTCTCTGGAGGAAAAAATAAAATGGAAAATATACTTTTTAAAAAAAGAATATTAATATAATTCATCATATCAGTGACTCTAAACAGAAAAATCATATAATCATATCCATAGATTCTTAAAGGCATTAGCGAAATTCACCATTCAATTTTTTTTTTAATTTCAATAAAATAGAAATGTATGGAGATTTCCCTAACTTGATGAAAGAGTTTAATCTCAGTTCTAAAGTAAATCGTATACTTAATATAGAAAGCATAAATTACCATATTAAATTATATTCTGTAAGTAGTCAATACAATTAGGCCAAAAAGAAAAAATAAATGAGAGAAACAATTTAAAAACTACTAGAAAAATAAGATAATTTATTAATTAGTAGAGTACAATATTAATTTATAGAAATCAATACATTTGACATATAAATCACAATCAATTAAAAGATTGAATGATATAAAGGCATAATGAAAAAACGAACACTACTTATAATGGAAACAAAACTATAAAATACCTCCGTATAAGCTTAACAAGAAAAGAGAACAGGAAAACTTAAAACATCCTGAGAGGCACAAAAAAGACTTGAATTCATAAAATTCATACCATGTAATTGAATAAGAAGACATAGAGACGCCTTTGATGTCAATTCTCTGTAAGTGTTATTCTCTATGAATTGTTTATTCTCCAATAATTGCTGTGGTATTGGCACAGGAGATCAATCAAGGGAATAAAATAGTAAGCTCAGAAATACGTCCAAATACATATGAGAATTTAGTTTACGATAAAGGTAGCATGTCAGCTGAGTTGGCGGAAAAGATGAGATTATTCATTAAAGGCTGTGGGGGACAATTGAGCAGATATTTAGGGGGGAAAAAGGGGATCCACCACAAGAATATGTTCTAGATACATTAAATGTTAAAAATATCTTCATAAACGTACTAGGATAAGATAGGAACATCTTTTCATACAGCTGTGCGCGAGGAAAAATAATTTTCCTTGTACTCTTCTAAAGGTTCTCGGCTGAGACTTTCCTCTAATAAAAGGCAGATTAACAGGAGAAAAACAAACAGATGTTTAATAACTTGTATCCCCCCTGTATACATGGGAGAGACCCAGGAAAACCGAGTAACTCCCCGAAATGGCCCAAGCCACCACCTTCCAGACCTTCCCCAGCTAAAGACAAAGAAGATGTGAGGGGATGGGCAGTTAGGGGAGGTTAATAGGGAAACACAGTAAACAAGGGTCAGGCTGTTATGCAGATTTAAGTCCATACCTTCTCCATTGATGAGAGTTTCTAGAGATTCAGAGTCACTTCCTCTTCCTGATACAAGAAATGGAGATTTCCCTTATAAATGTAAATTTCTCTTACAAAAGGGTAACTTCTCGGTTTTTAGAGCTTCTCTTGTGTCTGAGGTTTCATGAAAATAATCCTTATGCGAAAGGCATATTTGGAGGTCACAAATTATAGTCCCCTTCACCTCTAAATGGAGGAAGCTTTTCCAACTATATATCAAAACCAGAAGTCAATAAGAGAACAACTAGTAAATTAGACTGCGTGTTTATTTTAAATTCTGTGTCATGAAACCCACAATAAACAAATGACAAAATACAGATCTTGACTGCCCATATGCCTGGGCTTGGTGGCCTATACATTTAATCTGCTACTGTCCTTCATATTTAAAAGTTGACATAACACTGAAAAATAAGTAAATAAATAAAATAAACCAGAGGGTCAGTGGCCCATATAGAAGACTTTAGAAATAAAATTTCAACACGGAAAATTCAGTGAGGGAAAAAAAAAAGGTAGAGCTGTCATCTTTAATCCTAGTTGCCTGTAATCGAACCATTCTGTTAATCATTGTTTGGGTAACTCCTTCTGGTCTTTTATCTGTATAAATACACAGAACTTTTTAAACAGTATGGAATCATTCTTTATATACCATTTCGCTGCTCTTTTCACTCTGATGTGTGGAACATTTTGTGGATAAACATTAACTTCAATATCATTTTTAATTGCTATGAACTACTCCATTTTATAGATCTAATGTAACTTATTGGTATTTGCACTATTTCTAATCTTTGCAATTTATTACATAAAAATAAGCCTTAAGTTACTTGGACACATTCCTAATTAATGAGGGTATACGCATCAATTGTAATATGGTAACTCACCTCTGGTCAGTCTTTGCTCTCCAGCTCTACTTGGCCACAAGCCTTTGATCCAAACCAATCTTCACAGGCTTGCCTACTGTGCCTCAGGCTAATCTCTCCAAGTTATAGTGCAGCTGACTGAATGAGAAAACAGGTAGTGAACAGGTTTGCCAGCTGGCTCAGAAAGCCAAGGGGCTACAGATTGATGCTATCGCCACATTAATGAGCCCTTGGGTTGGGGTTGCTCCTTTTGTATTGAGCTTCCCTCTCTACTACTTTAGCCACATGTGGCCATTTCAATTTAAATATAAATATTGGGTTGTCAGAAAAGTCATGACGTATTTTTTCTGTTTTTCGTTGCAAAAATGCGTCATGACTTTTCCAACAACCCAGTACATTAAAATCAAAATTAAATTAAAAATTCATTTACTTAGTCTCACTGGCCACATTTCAGGAGCTCAGTAGCCATATGTGGCTTGTGGCTACCCTAGTGAACCCTGCAGAAGACATCGCTATCATAGTTGTAGGTTCTATTGGACAGTGTCGGTGGGGGGCACCCCAATACCTGTTAAGACAGCCACATGCATCACCTTACCCACACTGTCCAGGTGCAGCAAGCAATCAAGAATACATCGTTTTGGGCCAGCCAAGTGGCGCGTTGGTTAAGAGTTGGCTTGGGATGCCAGCTCTGAGCAGCAGGGCCCCGGTTCGGATCCCACATGAGGGCCAGTGATGCTACGCCCTCTATAGCTAAGATGGTGAACAACAGCTCGACCTGGAGCTGGGCTGCCATGCGTGTGTCGCCGGTAATGGTGTAGGCTGCAGCCCCTGCTGCAGTGGGTGGCCATGAGCTACCGTGAGTGGCCGGCTGCCAGCGAGAGCTGCCATGAGCCGCCATCCAATGGCCTAGACCAATCTGTCTCACCCGGGAAGAGCACAATGATAATACCAACATGGGCCAGTGAAGTGACATCCTCCACAACTAGACTGGAGAACAAAAGGACAGCAACTTGTCTGTTCCCTATCCCCGATTCCCCAACGCTGTTCCCCTCCCCCAATTTTCCAATAAAATCTAAAAAAAAATACATTGTTTACGTTAACGATGCAGTTACATTTTAAAAAACAAAACGTTTTTGGCACTGTTATTCTATATGCCAGGCCTTTCCTTTATCATCAGGTAGGCTGCTGTTTTGCCCATTTCAAGATGAGTTTCCTGGAATCAAAGATGAAGTTACTCATTCTTGGCAAATGGCTAAAATGTGGGGGAGAGGGCCTTTGGCCCCCAGTCCTTGGATCCCAAGTGCCCTGCTGGTTTCACCAGCTCCTGCTGTTCTCCCCGCACTGGGACATCTACTCCCTGTCCATCGGTGAGGGCATTCCCACTCAGAAATCAGTTCTCCTTCTATATCTAATTTTAGATGAATGTTTCAGAGCTGTAAAAATGAAAGTAATTTATTCATGAAGTGAAGCTGTTCTTCCACTGAAATTATTTATGTTTCCTGTTCCTATTTCTAGCTTGAGCAATTTCGGACCTTGCTTTTCACTTCCGAGGGGGAGAAAGAGAAAAGAATGGTGGACAACTTCCGTCCCCTTCAGCCCCTAATGAATCGCACTGTCCGCTCGTCCTTCCGCCATGATTACGTGCTGAATATACAAGTGAAACCCAAGCCGTCTACCAGCCAAGTGACCCCCTAAGACACCCATGTCTAGGTGATATTTTGCTTTAATACACACTAGCTTCTAAAAACTTAACTATAACTATTCTAAACACTTGCACTTAATAGTAATGATAGATGTGCATTTCTTGGTATGGCAGTGCTTCTTCAGTCTTTTATTAATAATAATGTTTATCACTGAAGCAGCAGCAAGAGATGCAATTTTCTCTTACAGCAACCTGTTGGTTACCATAATGTCTTTTTATGTCTGACATTTTTGAGCTATCTTCGTGTTTATCAATTAGTGCTTCTATAGAGTTACAAGGAGGGATGATAATCAAAATATTTAACCACCGGTAAGACAGACACTGACCATCCAAAATGTAGGCCTGCATTGGTGGTATAGTGGTGAGCATAGCTGCCTTCCAAAATGTAGGCCTTTCGGAAACAGCCATGGGGCCCAGACTGGTACTTCCTGGCTGAACATTGGCCATGGTTTTAGGTATATTTTATTTAGAAACATGAATGAATTTTCTTTTATAAAGCCTTCTCAATAGGCATATTTGCCCCGATCTTTAGTTATCTTACTAGTATACGATATGCTTAATATCGATTTATGATACAGAAAAAATATTTTATAATCCTAAGAAAACAAGGATTTACTTATATCTGGAAATCCTTTTGCATTTCTGAAGATCAGACATTTTACTTAAAGGCTTGATCATATAGAAAGCATATGCAGTGTAGAACATTTTTAAGAAAATGCTTGAAGTGCCTAGAACTTAGAAATCTTTCATGATATACCGGGGGTGCCAAAAAAAATGTACACATTTTAAGAGATGTTATCTATGTGTTACTTTTCAAAGTTGAATTGAATTACGGTAGCAATGTAGTATGATGTTCGCTCAAAAGGTGGCATTAATCAAATGAATGCTAGTGTCACTAATTGTATTACAATTTTAATACAGTTTTTTCCCTTCTTAAAATGTGTATACATTTTTTTGGCACCCGCTGTATTTACAGAAGTATTTTCCAAATGACTATTAATATAATAGTCTATAGTTTATAGTATTATTTTTGCATTATTTATACACCGTTTCAGAGAATATGATAATATTTTCCACAATGACAGAACTATCTTGGTTTCCCTTTAAAACTGTCTGAACTTTATTTTATTTCATTAGTTGAGGTGCTGTGCAAGGCAGGTGCATAAATCTCCCGATTTATACAGTGGCTTAGAAGACTTTAGCTACAGGAATAGGGGGAGAAACTTGTCGGGTAGGCTACAATCTAGATAATTCTACATATTCCAAGGAATCTACGCCACTATTGCCCTTGTTTGTAAATGTCTTGGAATGTTTCTAATTCCCTATAAGCCTGTGTTCAGACTCAATATTGCATTAACTAGTAGTATTTCTTTCATTAATATGCTAGTCATCTGGTCTGCAAAATAGGGTTGGATAAATATGCTTAACACTACTGAACCATACACTGAAAAAGGTTAAGGTGGTAAATTTTATGTTATGTGTATTTTACCACAATTAAAAAGAAAGAATAAATTCAGTAGGAATAAAAGATAGGTTTGGAGTTGCATGTGTGAGTTTGGGGGGATATCTCTGCTCTAAAGGAGATATGGGGGGCAGGGGTAAAGGCATTTGCTTCTAGGGTGCATGCCTTCTCTGGGAAAGGGTAGCAAGTCTACCCCAGGAAATGAATACAATTCTTACAAAGGTAAATGTAGGGAAAAAGTTCATGTTAACTTAATACAATTGATATGTTTCAAACCATACTTATCTTTAAAAGGGTAAACACAAGATATGCATTATTCCGGGCATACAGGCTTCCCTCCTAGGCCTCTTGCAAACTCTTAGTGCAAAATTCTGCTGCAGTGAGTCTTCCAAATTGGAGCGAGAACCAATATACAGAATGCCAAACTTACCCTCACATCTTAGAGCTACAAAGGATGTACAGTTGACCTTTGAACAACATAGGTTTGAACTACACGGGTCCACTTAACGTGGATTTTTTTTCAATAAATACATACAGTATTATAAATGTATTATCCTTATGATTTTCTTAACATTTTCTTTTCTGTAGCTTTATTGTAAGAATACAGTATATAGTACATAAAATATACAAAATCTGTGTTCATCAGCTGTTTATGTTATCATTTAGGTTTCTGGTCAACAGTAGGCTATTAGTAGTCAAGTTTTGGGGGGAGGCAAAAGTTATATGTGGATTTTCGACTGTGCAGGGATGTCGGCACCCCTAACCCTGCCCCCGCGTTGTTGAAGAGTTAACTGTATTTATAGGGTGTGTCCCAGTTTGCCACTTGTGATTTATTTACACCTGGTGTTCTGGGGTAATTATTAACAGCACTCTCTTTCACCGTCAACCATGTCCTGGTTTACATGATAAATTCTTGGCAATCTTTCCTGCAGAAGTTATGGAAACAGCTTTGGGGGTGTGATTTCATGCATGCCTTAGTCATCCTGCCCCCCCAAATGGTGCTGTAGATTCCCTGGCTGCTGCTGCACCCTAGCAAGAAACTTTTTATGTTTTTTATGCCTCCCAAGTGTTTTACTTGTACCTTCCTTGACCCGAAAAGGAAAAATGGGCTTGAGATCTGTCAAAGGGCGTGAGAAAGAATTTTGTATTAAAATGACTGCTCATCTTCATCAAATAATATAGATTAATAAAAAACCCTTTCTTTACATTATTAATATTTGTTGAATGGCTTTTTCTTCCTATGAGTTGTTTTGAATATGGAAGGTGTCTGTAAAATTAGTGAGACATCCTTTAACATGTAGATCAGAAAGTGACTGGAGAGCTCATAAGGGAATTTACTAGAGGAGCAGGAATGGAAAGAACCACTTGCTCCTCTTTAGTTCACTTCTTTCTGTGAAACCAGTGCCTGATCTGCGGACATCATCAATAGGGCAAGCTGTCGGCCCCTTTCTCCTTTCCCAAAGTCGGCTAGTCTTTTTTTTTTCAGTTTCAGGTGTACAAAACAACATAATGATTAGACATTTACACCCCTCACAAAGTGATAACCCCACCAAGTCTATTACACCGCTGACACTGTACATAGCTATTCCAATACCATTGACTGTATTCCCTATGCTGTACTTGACATCATATATATATTTATATTTATACTTTTATTTATATATAATTATAGTTGGCATTCAATATTATTTTCTATTAGTTTCAGGTGTACAGCGCAGTGGTCAGGCATCTATGCAATCTATGAAGTGATCCCCTGATGAGTCCAGTGCCCATCTGACACCCTACATAGTCTTTACAACATTATTGATTATATTCCCCATCCTGTATTTCCCATCCCCGTAACTTAAGTTGGCTATTCTAAAACCAGGCATCCACCTCAAAAAAGTTTAGGAAGATGACTTTTGAGGGGATACATTCTTTTCACATGATATAGGCAAAAATGCAGTATTATAATCACTTTAGGTATGTTTCTATGTTGCTAAAAGATGCCACAATTAATGCCACAATTAAACATTAATGCCACAATTATACAATCAACACTGTAGACTTGATATCTATCCTACTTAATGTTTTATTGTCTTTTTAATTCAATGTTGTTGGTTGAGTTCTTTCTTGTAAAATGTTATTGATCAAAATGGATGTAGTTCATTTAAGTGAATAAGTTCTAGTTTTACAGTATAATTAGTACATATAAACAATATCAGCTACTTTACAGATATAATATTGCAGTCTTGTATTTATGCACTGAGTGTTTGTGTGTTGTGTCTTTGTTGTCCCCCTTCCCCACACACACACACACACATTCATATGTTGAAATCCTAGCCACTAAGGTGATGGTATTAGGTGGTAGAGCCTTTGGGAGGTGATTAGGTCATGAGGGTGGAGCCCTTATAATGGGGTTAGTGCCCTTACAAAGGAGACCCCAGAGAGCCTTCTCACTCATTCCACCATATGAGGACACAGTGAGATGATGGCTGTCTATGAACCAGTAAGGAGGGACTTACCAGACAGCAAATCTGCTGGCACCTTGATCTTGGACTTACCAGGCTCTAGAACTGTAAGAAGTAAATTGTCGGTTTTTATAAGCCACCCAGTCTGTGGTATATTGTTATGGCAGCCAGAACTGACTAAGACACTTGTCACTGTATGTACATTTTGATTCCTGATTTTTTAAATTCAATCAGTCTTCAGAAATGGTAGTACAAGTACTTTGGTTTGGGTTCTAGGTGGGGATATCAACTCTGCCACCATTCCTTCTCAAACCATCAGCAGCTGTGTTGCTTTGACCTTATCACTAGACAAAAGAATCAAGTAATGAGAACTATCATTGGATAGTTCTTTCCTCCAAAGAAAATGTATAATCAGTTGTACAATTCAGCATTTTTCATATTAATATGCATTCATCAGTATTTTATCTTGTTTCTTTAAGTTATAACTGTAATCTGGAAAATATATAAAGCCCTTGGCATAGCAATGAGGGTCGAAAAGGACTTGAGACCCCATTGTATGTCCTTGAATAAATCAGGTCACTAATACTGAAACTGAATGGTAGCTAAGGAAAGAAGTGTTCTTTCTTGAGGATTTCTGCATTGACCACTGAGTGAATCCTACTATTGTCCTACTAGAGCATGAAAAAAACTAATCGAAAGACTCCCATCCTGGCATTCAGAGAGTAGATATTTTTCTTCTTTGTCTCCTTTTATGTTTACAATAAACAAAAAATATACTTATGGATCATTCTTTGGTCACTTTATAATAACTAAGACTCACATTTAGCAATAGAATTATCTACTATATCATTTGTATAAGTAAAATATTTTCTTTAACTTTTTTAGATCATTAGCTATTTTCCAATGACAATATAAAATAAAAATTTAGGCATTTTCTCCCCCCGGGGGGGTCAGGGAGGGAGATAAACTGAAATATACATACTTGAGAATAAGTAGATGTATTTCAGGCATCAAGAAAAATAGAAAATATATGTTGTAGAATAAAAGTAACTTTATTGGAATATCATAGCATCATGTATATTTGCATTAAATTTTTACATATTTTATCTTGTAATTTATCAATTAAAATGAAGGTAACTATAGTTTAGAAATGGAATTGGCTTTTAGAGTAACTTCTGTTATGAAGTTAACTTGTTCATGAAAATTAATTCAGTGGTTAATTGTTGACGATAAATGTCTAACTCCTATAAAAGGAGATTCACATTCATTTCTGAATCAAAACAAGATCTAAATCTGTATCCCTTTTTAATAAGGAGTATCTTCCTAGAAGACATTCTTACTTATTGCTATTATGTGGAAGTCTGGTATAATTCATAAGAAATGTTACAGCAACCCAAACATTGATGCTTTCAGAACGGCAGTAATTCTCAGCAAAAATCCTGGTCACAGGAAACAGCAAAATTGGGGATTCGCACAGCTACATTCTCTAGTTTGGGCATATAACTGCCAAGTCTCCACCTTCAAGGAATTTACGATTTAGTGCAAGCAGCAGACTTGTGAAAGCAACAAAGTGCTTATTGATATTTATATAAGCATCAAACTAGTTATGAAACTCTTATTTACTGCTCTCATTGTGACAAGTTAGTTCTTTTTCACTTCTCACCTAGATTGCAAATATTCCAGCTTTATCCTTTACATTGCAAACCCAGTAATTTACCTAAACCACAAATATGACAAGTCTCAACTTAAAAGCTTTCAGTGGTTCCCTGTTCCCTACAGAACGTAAGTAAATCTTCTTAGCATGGCATTCTAGGCCCTCTTCCATAACCTCGCCCTAGCCTACCTCTACGGCTGTACTCCTTAATACTCTCCAATTGCCCTTTAAATCGATGGCCAAAAATCTTGCGGTTCCGGCA